CTACTACTACTACTACTACTACTACTACTACTACTACTACTACTACTACTACTACTACTACTACTACTACTCTACTCTACTACTACTCTACTCTACTACTCTCTCTCTCTCTCTCTCTCTCTCTCTCTCTCTCTCTCTCTCTCTCTCTCTCTCTCTCTCTCTCTCTCTCTCTCTCTCTCTCTCTCTCTCTCTCTCTCTCAATCTTGTAGTGTGCTTGAGGTTAGGGTTTTGGTTTTGCTTAATCTTTCCTCCAAAAGCTGCCATGTTCCTTCATCACTCACGGTCTGGATATCTCTGTCTCTATAATTAGTTCTCTATAATCTATTTCTTATGAAGCTGAAATTAATTAGTTTTCTTCATTATTTAACTTCTTCTTTGATAAAACTGAAATTGACTTCCCCATATTGAGTAGGCAAAAAAAATCAAAGAAAGAAGATTATTTGGTCCTTGGGATTTTATTATGTTTTTGCAAATAATGAATTCTTTGTTCTAGTCTCTTACTACTTACATGGTCTTGGTTTGGATGACTGTATGGTCAGAACATTTGTTCTTCTCCTGTAATCAATTCAAAATTACCCATTATGTTAATCATGATGATGATTGGAGATCGATGTTATATCCTATGGTTGCCTTTTATCGGACTGAAACCAGAATACATGGTTTGTTAGCAAGCAATAAAAGAAATCGCTTGGCTTAAATGTCTCGTAAGTGATCTAGACTTACACCAAGATGGAACTATTATTTATTTTGATAGTTAGAGCACAATAGATTTAGCAAAGAACCAAATCTATCATGTGAGAACAAACCATAATGATGTTAGGCACTATTTTTATCTGTGAATAGCTGAGGGTGAGTGATACCTTATTACTGAAGATTGGTACCAAGAAGAATGTTGAGGATATGTTAATGCAAGTGATTCCATTATAAAAGTTCTAGCTACATTTGGATTTGATTAATGTGTTGCCAAGGCAAGTGCCCTTGGGGGGCATGGAGAAGATGGTTGAAGGCAATCTTTGAGGTGGAGACTTACTGGGGGGATGTCTTGCATTTCCAACCAACCTCAAGTTGAGGTCATTTTGGGTTTCCAAGTTTGTCAGATTTTCTGCTTATTTTGTGGGGATATGAATCCATATCTTTAGGAACTGGTATCTTTTCATATTAACTAAATTAAATATTTTGATATGAGAGGATTATGTTGTTGTTTTTTTTTAATTGTTAACTACAAATATGAGTGGATTATGTTAATCTTTTGTTATAAGAAGATAAGGAGGGCATGGCCCTTGACAGAGCAGAATGGTGGAACAGGATTTCTATAGCCGACCCCAAATTGTTAGGTTCAGGCTTTGATGATAATGATGATAAGAAGATAAGGAGGCCCTAATGTTAGTCCCTTTTGGGGTTCCTTTCTATATAAATAAAGTGGTTATGTATAGAGAGAGAGGTGGAGAGAGAGAGAGAGAGAGAGAGAGAGAGAGAGAGAAAGAAACTTCATTAAGGTGAATAGATGTCCATGTGAAGGTGAAAGCTTTGTGAGACATTGGGATTGTACATGTTCTGTTGTTCTCTTAGGTAAAAATTATCTTGTACTACCTTTTGACTATTACATAGTAGAAAATTGTCGATCAATGTTCAAGAAGATGGGAGCAGCAGTCTATTGACCTGTGTGGCCACTGCGTTTGGAAGGGCGAAAGAAAAAAGAGGGAGGGTGGAGTTGGGGGGTTGGTTTTCAAATCTGAAATTTGCATCATAAATTAGAAACAAAGCCAAATATAGCAAAAAATGTATTATAAAATTTCAAATGTACATTATCAAATAGAAACATAGCCAAAAATATATTATAATCACAAAAGTAGCAAACCAAAAAAAAAGAAACACTTACGAAGTTTCATCATTATGTAAAGCTAAACCTCACAAATAAAAACAAGAAAATGTTAAAAAATATAACATAACACAATACTCACAAAAATATGAAGCCCTAAACATGAACAATTAAATTTACTTACCTTTTGAAAACCAATCGAAGTAGGCTTGAATCGGCCACTTTTGGTCGCCAAAAGCTTTCTTTTGCAACCTCTTCAATCCTGAAAAAATTTGGGGTCGAGCGCCTCTCAATTTCGCAAGAAACTGAATAGTTTGAATTTAAATTCAATCCTTAAATTTTTTTTATTTTGAGATGAAAATTTTGCTTTTGAGGCAAAGGAGTAGTTGTCCAGGGTTTGGAGGGCCAACATGCACCGCAAATACTATCTTCACCCTTTCAAATGGGGAAAATGACATTTTTGGCCCTTTTAGCAAGGGCAATTTTGGCACTCACCAAAAGGGCCTTGAGCGGCGCAGGCGTTGCTGCCCAAGCGGTTCCCTAGGAAACTAGTCGGCTGCCCAGGGTTACCGTCCCACAGTGGGCTGCATTGGCTCAGTCCAATGCAGTGGGGCCTCCCAGCCGCCTGAGCAGCCCACGCAGGAGGCCAAACGACAGACTTTTCAAACACATTTTGCAAAAAATTATCCGTTGGGCTTGGGAGCTTTCGCATGCATAGAATATACCCACCCCTGGAAAAAACCAATGTCCCCCTCTTTTCACATAAGAATAAGGAGTATATCCCATACATCTTGGATCAGCTCGGCAACCTAACCATTTTCATGGTGTCTTTATCATAAGCTCCTCAAGCACTTCTCAAGATTTGATTTCTTAACCAATTGGAAGGGCAACATTTCTTTGCAGGTCTCTAAAGCTGGCTTTCAATTTCTTAACCAATTACAAGGTTTTCAATATTTGCAGGTCTCTAAAACTGGCTTTCATCATATCCAATGTTTTAAAAAACAGACCGCATGGCGCCTAGGCGGCCTGGACAAAAAGACCCAGACGGCCCTACACGGGCGGATGTACTTGGGAGGGCGCTCAGGGCCATAAGGCCTTTTTTCGTTTTTTTTAATCACCCAAAAGGGCAAAAGGGGTCATTTTGACCCCCAAAGTTGTATAAAAACGTTATGGGGTTTATTTTTAACCCCCAAAGTGAAAAAAAAAAGACCTCAATATATGAAAACCCCCAAAGTGAAAAAAACTACAGGGCGCCCGAGTTCTGGGCACCAGGAAAGCTGCCCCAGTGCCGCCTAGCTTTTTTTGAAACCTTGATCATATCTGGTGAGAGGTGAATACGGCGATAGATGCTCTACCTAGGTAGGGCACTACTGCTAACATCCCTTCAGTTCAGTAAAGCCAAGTCCCTCTCTGTTTGTTTTCTGGTCCTCACCTCAGCTTTTTGTGTCCAACATGGATCTCTCTCTATCTCCCTCCCTCCTTCCCTCCCTCACTCCCTCTGTGTACTTCTTCTTCTTGTTCCCCTACTTCTTCCCTTGTCTCTCTTTGATATTCTCTATGTCACCCTCCTGACTAGGTCTTTTCTGCTTTTCCTTTACAATGCACTTCTTTTTACTCGCTTCACTCAGTCCTCTGTTTTCTCCTTTTCCCTCTCTGCAAATCACTATCAAGCACCTGCTCCTATTCCTAGAATCTCCTACCCCCCCCACCCCCTCTTAAAAAATTAATAAATAAATAAACTCTCGCTTTCTCTTTACTCTTATTTTGTCTTCTTTTTTTTTTCACTCTTCTCATCTTTCTTCGTCTCAATTTTCCCTTCTTTCGTCTCTCTCTCTCCCTCCCTTCTACCCCCCACCCCTTGAGCTCTTTTCTTGTTTTTCGCTCCCTCCCCTTACTCCTACTTCCTTCTCTTCTCAATTCTCTCCCTTCTTTTACCACATGCATTTTTGAGTTTGTATTTATGGACCATTTTATGGCTGAGCCATGAGGTCCTGGCTTGTCAACTGCCAACCTGCAAGGTGACTTCTGTGTGCTGAGCACCTGATCTGTGGGATGCAACACTTTTATATTTATCTCTTAATGATTGAGCACTTGTCTTGTGGGCTTCCGAATACCATTTTTGCTCTAGATTTTCTTTTTGTTACAAAGCACCCAGCATGTGGGATGTCTGAGACTCACTTCTTGTGAGAACTTTTCTACATCGTTTATAAATATTTTCCCCAAAAAAATTAAGATTGTAAGAAAGAAAGGAAGGGAGGGAGCGGGTGGCAACTTTTTTCTCCCTACTATGGGCATTCTTTCTGCCCCTGAGCTGGGGCCAAATATGCAGGCTATGCACCGCCGCCTAAGCGGATGCATCTTGTAAGCCCATCAAGGGATCTATGTGCGGTGCAGCCAAGGACTGCACCACATTGAAGCAGCTGCATAATGCTTTATGCAGCTACATCTGATAACACGGACTTTATCTACCATAGTTATCAAGACCTAGTCAAACCGGCTTATTTGATCAACCACTTGCTTGGCCGATCTAGTCCAAAGTAAAAATCGGGTATGGTAAAAAAGCTATTCAAACCAAACTAATCAAAACACATGTTTTGGCTAGTCCGACTGGTTTATATTGACCTTACACCAGCCACACAAAGATTGGGCTACTTTTTCTATAATATATTTTTATTTTTGAAGTGCTATTCATATTTTCTCTTTGTAGTTTTAAGAAATTTGGTCGAACCGGGTGGTGTGACCCTCACGTTCAGTGACCAATCTGATCGTGATAATACCAATATATATTGTATTACCATGTTACATTGATTACCAGGGATTTTTGGACTCAAGCATATATTTCTGAGGATTTAATAGTTTGTTATTGTATTTCCTGAATTAAATATTTTCTCTGGATATGCCACTGAACTCTTTGTTAGTAGTTTCTTAGAAATAATTAGAACATGCGTACAAGAAAAATAGTTCATAAGCATTGCACTTCTATAGAAAGGAATATAGAAATGTACAAAAATGAAACACTGAATACATAATCCTAAGAAAAAATTGGTGCTGTCTTAAACAAAAAATATAAAAATCCGAAAGGCCCACCATAATATTGTTTTAATCCATGTAAAAAAAGAAAAGTAAGAAATCAGGAAACCTGTCCTGTTATTATGAGATCTCTCTCTCTCTCTCTCCAAAGTTTTGGTATAAAACTTACATAATTTAGAAAGTAGATCTCCAAAATTTTGGGATAGTACATAGAATGGCTGTGGTTGTGTCTTGTGACATACCGGAGACAATTAGAGGTTGGTAAAGATGATTAAGAACTACAGATTCAGCTTTGTTGAATTTTTTGTACTGGTACCCCCCTTGTGTTCACCTTTACCTGGCTGCTGCTTGTTGACTCCTGATTTTCCATCTGCATATTGTGTGCTGTACACCTCTATATTCTCAGTAACTGTATACCTGAACATATGTTTGTTTTCACTCTTGCCTGTTTGTTCTTTTGTCCTTTTTGTGACGAATGACATATATTTGCATTTTCTTTTTTCTTTTTTTCTTTTTTTATATTTTCTTTTCTTTTTTATGCATTCACATCTAACTTCTTCTTTTTTTCTTTCATTCTGTTTTCGATAGCCAACTTATCTTTCCAGTAACGTGAGATTACTCCAATTGCTGTCAACACAACTTTCCAAATGTTACCATCCCCTCGAAGCACCATGGAGTCACTTGACTCAACTAGGGCCAAGCTAAGGGAATCACTTGCTACAGCTCTGGCCATGGTTCCTCTTCAGCAAAAGAAACCAACAGATATGAACTACAGTCTTCATAGTGAGGCAGCCAATGCCCCATTATCAGCAAATATGGACCACAGACTTAATGAACCAAAGCCTCCTGAAATGGCCATACTTCCTCAGGACCAAAAGGAACCAACAGATGTGGACAATAATGTTCATATTGAGGCTACCACTGCACCATCATTAATAAATGTGGAACCCCAACTTACTGAACCACAATCCATGGATGCGACCGTGATTCCTCAACAGCAAAAGGAACCGATAGACTTGGACAAGATTCTTCATACTCAGGGTGCCAGTGCTCCTATGCTAATAAATGTGGATTCTCATAATGCTGAACCACAAACTACTGTATTGAATCATCGTTTTGATGATTCCTATAAGCTTTCTGAACATCTGGCCAGCAATAAAATTGTCTCTGATAATGACATGGACAAAAGTTTAAATTTCACGTATGACAATATAATCAATCGAATTGGAGGTGATATGTTGAAACCCACCATTACTCATCTGGAAGAATTTACCCCAAAACATGCTTCTCAAGAAGGTTCCATAATCAGTATGATAAATGATGAGAACTTGGAAGCATTTGGTCACAATGTTGAGTCTGTTGTAGAGATAGAGAGGGCTGAAGAGAATAGTGGTCCTGCTTGCAAAAAACCTAGACTGGACCGCACAGAAACTACTAGTACTAGGAATGGTAGGGAGCCACACCTTGAACCAGCACACGTCCTTGCCATTAAAATTGAGGAGGAGCTTTTTAAATTATTTGGTGGTGTTAATAAGAAGTATAAAGAGAAAGGGAGGTCTCTTTTGTTCAATTTAAAAGATCGTAATAATCCAGAATTGAGAGAGCGTGTGACGTCTGGTGAAATTGCCCCTGAACGGCTGTGCTCCATGTCGGCAGAGGAGCTTGCTTCAGAGGAGCTTTCTCAATGGAGAATAGCCAAAGCAGAAGAGCTTGCTCACATGGTGGTTTTGCAGGATTCAGATGTTGATATAAGACGACTGGTGAAAAAAAATCATAAAGGAGAATTCCAAGTGGAAATGGAACGAGATGACTCTGTTTCAGTGGAGGTTGGTCTTGGGGAAAGTTTGATTTCCGATAGGTCAACATCTAAAGCCAAAGAAACTGAAGGGGATGGTGAAAATGAAACCGAGAGAGCTGAACCAAAAACTTCAACCGATTCAAAGAATAAGGAACTTGTTGAAGAGTTTAATGGGAAGGAAACAGTGGACCAAGAATCTCTGCCTGCTATTGTTTCTCTTGATGAATATATGGGTTCAGTTGATTCTAAGGAAACTGTAGATGTGCCAACAATTTTGGAAAAGAAACCACCTGCTTCAGGTGCAGAGAAGATCACTTACAACCTTGGTACTCAAGATGCAGATACTGGTTCCGAGAAAACCCAAAACATAAATGTGTCCTATAAAAGGACTGATAGCCTTTTGAAAATTCGTGATGTTCATCATAAGTCTGATATTGCAGCTAAGAGAGTGCAGGTTTGGGAGGGCCTACTTCAGTTGAATATATCTGCTACAATCACTGCCAATGCCTATTTCAAGAGGTTTGTGTTGTTTTCTTCAATCTCTTCGGTTGGTAGGAATTTTGTTTCTTTCCTTTAGGAACTTATAAAGGGCTGTAACCCGGTGCTGGTCCCGCCTAAGCAGGGTCCCAGGAGGGGTGAGATGGAAACGGTCCTAACCTTTGGCTTTTTATGCACAAAGTGGCCACTCTCAGGAATTGAACCCACACTCTTGCACTGGCTATCCAAGCCTTTTACCGTCACACGAAGTGATGGCCCCTTATAATATATTAAAATTATGTTGTACTTTGTCATGTCAAATTCATGTGTATTCTTTTGAAGATAGGTACACCTACACAAATATACACATGCTGTCTCATGTTAACATCTTGTTACATATGTATCTGCATAAATACATACATAGAAATGCTTACATGCGATTACCCATTGGCTCTATGGTGGTTCATACTGGATGAGTCGATGCTTCTGGTGCTTAAACATATCAATATCATCAGTGGAGACTGACCTACCCAATATCCTTCTAGATATAGCATATAGATATGGCCAGTGATAAATATGATTTAAGTGATGCTTAGTAGATTTCTAAGTCGAGGCTTCGGTTGGTTACTTTGTAACAAGAAATGAACAAAAAAGAGGTACTCTAATAATAAATAAAAAAGAAAATTGTTTTTTCTCAACAAAAAAAAGAGAAAAAAGAAAATGGTCTTGGTAAGAAATAGATAAGAGTGCTCAAAAAGTAGTTTGCTTCAATAACTTAAGAAAGTCCAAGGAAATTGGAAGCAGGAGCTGGTCAACTTTTAAATAGGAATTTTCTAGGAAGCACCTATTCATGTTAATGTCTAACTTCTGACATGTACCATCTTCTTGAGAGTTCCCATGGGAACCATAAATTGGATGGTGTTTTGTCCTTTATTTGAATCACATACCAGAAAAGGGGGACTTAATTGCAAATCCTTTTTTACTAGCAAAATATTAGAAAATTTATACTTAGTATCCTCTGTATTATGACCCTTCTGAAGTTGCAAGTTGTGATTTCCATCCATTTTAATGTTCACATATAGATGTATTTTTGTATTTGTGTGCATGTATATTGAACACACGTACATACATCTGCCGGCTGAATTTTTTTTTAAAACAGACAAACTCAACAGGGACGTCACTGGGGTTTGATTGGCTGAGTTTTTTCAAGACATGGGTGGGTCCTGAGTCATCTACACCAATTTTGTTAGGACCGGACACTGACCAAACTGGTGAGGGCACCAAGTCAGTTGGACCGGCCAAACCGGACTGGTTCACCATTGGGACCGGTATAAGAAATTAAATAATGAATAAAAACGTAAAATAAGGAAAATTTGGGGGAAAATAGAGAAAATTATGGAAAATGTGAAAATCCAAAAAATTAAGGAAAATTCAAAGAATATTAAAAACAAATATTACTCTTCAAGAAATAAAGAAATACTCCTTAATAATACAATAACTCAACTTTGTAAAGAAGACACGAAATGAAAAGCTCAATTATAATATTGAAAACATTAGTCATGAACCACAATCATAAGTTCATATTCAAGAAAAAAAAAGAAACCACAATCATAAGTACACCACAAGTCCACAACTCCACAATCTGCAACCCATAGGCCTTAAAGACCTTGGTATGATTAGAATATTATAAAACGTAAGTGACATAATAAAAGTGTCAAAAATAATTAGTGGTCTCCTTCATCAACTTCATTTCCATCTCCTTGCTCATCATCGGGCTCCTTAGTGTTGACCCTTAAATCATCATTGTCTACACCTACGAGAAAGTTCGGTAATTATTAAGTAAGATACAAATTTACATTCTTAGAGTGTATAAAAACTTCAAACACGACATTATTAATTTTAAATTTTACCTTCTAGTTGTGGTTCTATCTCCATCTAATAGTCTAGATGCTTTTCAGTACGTTCAAGAGCAGGCCTCTCTTTTTCGACAAAGCACTCTTCCACAATATCGATCCTTTCCAAGTCAATTGGGTCTAAGGGCATTGGTTTTCTGTGGGTCCTAGAATATAGAAATTGAAAGATTTAAACATAAACATAAATAACACTAGAACTTTGTAATTAATTGATACATAATGAAAAATAAAATAATCAAGAGTTTAATTAATTGATACATAATGAAAAATAAAATAAACAAGAGTTTATTACTTCTTTTTCAAGCTCAAGTTGTACTGTACAAAACCTAGTTATTTAGCCGTTTTTGCTCCAACCTATTTCGCTCATCAGTGTGGATGTGTTGGAAGACACTCCAATTCCTCTCACCCATGGCTAGTTTGGCTTAGGCTTAGAATACAGATATCAAAACTCCCAAGGTTGGGAATTTACCCACGAAATTGTTCCCACCAAGCCGTTGAAAGTGATGATTAACTAATTTAGATTTGAGAACTAAAGATACACAAGAAAAAATGCATTACATTAAAACATGAAGTAGGTGGTAAAATGAACCAATTTTATCAACAAAGAGGTCACTCTTAAAACATCATTTTATTGCCTCTATTATTTGCTACGAATTATAAACAAGCAGGGATGTATAGGGAATTGGCACCACTTAACTGGTATGATGCAAATGACATAAATAGCCCTGCTAGGTTCGGCTTCCAAACCTGGCATATCTTTTTGTAATTAGAATTTATTGTTCCAAGTTTGTAGCCTGGAACAAGCATGGTGGTTTGTTAGTCTGCTTGGTGAGGATTTCGAACCCGGAAGGTGGGTATTTGCATACCTTTTGACAAAATACTTAAGGAGGTACCTGAATGAAATGATCACATTAAAGTGATCATTTTGTTGGTAAATGGGTTGATATTGACCACCTTAGTGATTTCTTGAGGTGGTTTGAGAGTTTTAATTATATGTTTTTTCTTATTTATTATGTTTGATATCCATGTGAATTTGAGACAATATTGTGTTATTCTGCTTAAGCGATTGCCTGCATGAGTTTCACAAGGATTTTATATATTTTATTGTTATAGTGGCGAGAAAACATCAGCAGAAGATTGGCCTAGCTTCCTCGAGATTAAGGGAAGAGTGAGAGTGGATGCATTTGAGAAATTCCTTCAAGAGCTTCGTCTTTCTCGAAGCCGTGCTATCATGGTAAGACATATTGATGTGTTCAGCTATGTTAAGGTATTTGCTTTATTCTATACCATGTTGATTTCATGATAATCTATACATGGTTCTGATTCTAGAGCTTGATTTCCTTATATTGCTCTGTTATGGAAGATCCTGAGTCCAAAATGGCTATTTGCAGCCAAAATGGGGAAATGCTATATAATTAGCATTCTTATATACTTACATTAGAAAATAATCAAGCAATTCCATACAACTTAACAGATGTTTAGTGAAGCAGCGGCTAATTTTTTAAAATAATTATTGCGCCCCTTAACTTACAAGATGCTTGTTTCATGATACTGTGATGGTCACAGAGGAATTATTGGATTAAGGAGTTTGGGCCTTGAAGAATAGTTCATTTTGGATAGAATTCCTGGCTAAATGGTGCTTGTCACTGTCCCTAAGCCGAAAAATGTACAATAAAGATAGCTAAAGCTTTTGGTGTTATCTTGTGAGTCAAGTTGTCCTGCCAAACCAGCACATGTAAAGAAGTAAAATTGAGTTCCATTCGAGTTGAGAACAGCATGGCCCGTTATAATTTTCCCTACTTCATATTGTCATATGTGCTTGGGTAACGGCAAGATCTGATGCACCCCTCATTTGAAGACATAAAAAGACCATTAATATCAGACATGGGGCCAGTGCATAGTTAGCATGATTTATGAACAGGATAATACCTTCACCTCGCCTTTATGCATCACCGTTTATCCATTTCCAATGTATTCTTCTCATGCTCATGGAATCTGGGCTCCCGCAAAACACATTTCTCAAAATGGTGTATGACAAAATGCTGCGCATAAGATCATGAATCATTCAATGAATACACATACGTAATATTCTTATAGTTAATCATTGAACCGAATGTACGTTCTCAAGTCATCTATTCTTGTTGCATAACATTCTTGAATACAATGTAGGTTGTGCTTTTCTGTTGGAAGGAGGGTTCCTCTGATAGTGGCGTGTCAGATCTACGTGAGGTAGGAAATTTTTTTATTTTAAATGTTGACAATAAGGCGTCCTTGTGTATCTTTAATTGCTGGCCGTCTTCTTTTTCTGCTTTTCTCCATTAAGAGATTGATATTATTTTTGGTTTTATGAATCCTTTCTGGGTAGGTGGTGGAGTCATATATTGCGGATGAGAGGGTGGGCTTTGCAGAGCCAGCTCCGGGTGTTGAGCTCTACTTCTGCCCACCTCACGCTCGTACACTTGAGATGTTAGGTCGGCAAGTGCCCAAAGACTACATTGAGCCACTGAGTAATAGCACAAATGAAGGCCTTATTGGCATTGTTATTTGGAGAAAGAGTCTTGTAACTACAACCATATCACCAAAGCACTCACACAAGCACGGCAACTTGTTAAAGAAGCATGATGTCTCTAAAAGGCCTGATAAAGATAACACCAGCACTAAATCACACCTTTCACAACAACACGTTACAAGTATTACTATTAACTACATAAACCCTAGCCATCAACTGCCTGATGAACCCATCGATGACATACCCCCAGGCTTTGGCCCCCCTCGAGGCCTACCACGAAACGAGGACGACCTGCCTGAATTTAATTTTGTTGGAGGCCCCAAAACGGTGGGATCACAATTCCCAACTCCTAACTCCAATCATGGAAGTTCGAAAATGGACCATATGCATAAGCCTATGCAACCAATTTCTCCTAGGGTGTCGAATTCTCAAACTCAACCATTTGCAAGTGAGCACGTGCGTGAGTTGATACACAAGTATGGGCAAACCAAGGGTCCCACCTCAAGCCCTAGCCTTCCGCCTAATATAAAGATCCAGGCTTGGAATGATGAGGATGACATACCCGAATGGAAGCCACCAAGTGGGGTGGTGGTCGATAGCCGGCCTTTAGTGACACCTCCAAATTTAGCAGTGCCTCCACCCCAAATTGGAATACATTCAATACCCCATCCGCCGCCACAAATGTCTGTGCTTCGACCCCACTTTGTGCAACAAATGCCACAACACTTCCCGCCACAGTTGGTGGTGCATCCGCCGCAATTGGGGCAAGTGCCCTTGCAACCACCTTTGCAGCCTCATTGGCAAGTGAGCCAAGGGGTGGATCCTGCAGGTGTAGGATTTCGTGGGCCACATGAAATGAGAATCCCTGATAAAACAATGATGCAACAACAAATGCATTTTGGTGGGTCGCCCCATGGCCAACAGGCAAGGGACTGGAGGCTCAATGTTTCAAGAAGCCAAGGGGCTTAAACAGTTCCATGTGTGACTTTTCTGATCAAGAGCTATAATGGGGATAAAAGGGTAAGCAACATGGATGGTGCTATTTCCTTGGTTTGAAGATTTTAGGAGATTTTGTAGTGTAACATGGTCTTTTGCAATCTCTCTGGTTATAATGGAGTTGCTTCCCCCTTACTTAAACATTAGTTTAATTTCTAGTTGCTTTGTTTTAGAATTCATTGTAACGTTGGAGCTTGTTTATGTAAAGCAAATAATATTAACCTCAAGTAACATCATACTCTCTCGTTGAACGTACGATTGGACCATGTCGTTTGATCTCTCTCACTAGTAACGTTGGACTCTTTTCTGCTCGATGAATAATTGCGCCAGTTTGTTTAGGTCGGGTCGTCTGGTTCTGGGTTGGAGTTGGGTCCGAGTCAGGTTTGACTGGATCTACCAATTTTATTTTTTCATTTCTAGACTTGGGTCTGGGTCTGGGTCTGGGTTTGGATCCGAGTCCGGTCCGGTTCCAAATGACTTGGACCTCAACTGGGGGAGGTTAGAGTCTATATGATACTTAAGGTCGGGTCTAGGTTGTCCTCACCCGGACCCGACTCAGCAACGGGGTCTGGGTTGTCCTTACCCAAATCCGACTCGACCCGTTGTCACTCCTATGTTTACTCTATTTTTCCACGAGAACATCTGTTTGCTAGGAATCCTCCGCATATAGAGGTATTTATAGCTATATCTCTCTCATTAGATGGCCTATAGAGGTACATGTGGAGTTCCATTTGTAGTTATGGACTAAGGTGGGAAGTGCCACGGACACACTTGTTACCGTGAGTTCACCCCCTCAAAATCCATCTTGTTTTGATCATTGAGGTTGTTAGCTCGATTATCTTTGTTGCCGTGAATCCCTCGCTACAAGTCTTAACCAATCCCTGGCAAATCGATTTCTAGAAATTCAAATACCCAAGAGTCGTGTATGATGTCATAAATTTGAAAAAACTAAAAAAAAATCAAGAGAAATTAAAACCAATATACTACAACATCCAATTTAAGCACCATCAGCACATAAATATACATGGTTCACTCTAATGGGCTACATCCATAAACTAAAGGAAAAAGTTTATATAGAACCGAGGCTTTAAACAATCAAATTAGAGCCCACCTCAAAAAATTTATTAGAAGAGGTTGTTTTGATGCTCAAATATCTTCAAATTGATCATCTCGACATCAAGATGCATAGACATGAGAAAAAAATGGATTTCAAATTTTGAAAATAGTGCATCTTCTAATGCATTTTTGGACGGTCAATTTTCAAAAAATTTAAGTTTTCATATATCGGCTTTATCTACACTATTTTTTAAGCTTTAAAATTTATAATTAAAGATGAAAATATATCTTAAGGCTGTCACAAAGATATCCAGTATTGAAACCACATTTCTCGATACTATTTGAAGGTGCGCTCTACTTTGATTGTTTAGAGCCTCGGCTCTATACATACCGCACCCTAAATTAAAACAACTTTATATACTTCTTAAGATGTTGAACCATTTTTTTAAAAAACGTTATGGGCTCATAAGATAACTGTTTTCACTTTGGTGAATAGGTTTTGGATGCGGTTAGCATGCCGCCAGCCCGAATATTGTAAAGATGCGGGCTTGGCAATAAATATATTTTTTAAATATAATTTAATCCTAATTTTTAAATATTATATAATTTTTAACATGGACATCATGAATATGGGAAAAAAAAAATTGAAAATTAAAAATAATAATTATATTAAGAGAGTATTTGGACCGTTAGAATTTTTTTTAGATGGACCACCTATTTGCATTCATCTTTAAGATAGATGTTTTATACCTATGGACCGTACATTATAGAAATGCGGTCCAGCCCGCATGAAACAACTGTTGAGAGGTATTTCACTGCAGTGGCCTTTTTCACCACAGTGAACAAGCTATGAACTTTTTTTTTTTTTTTTTTTTTCTCATATATACTAATTTATTTATTTTAAACTAAAATTTTTTCACTTTATATTTTAATATTATTTTGGAACTTCCATTTTTTCATAGATAACTTCTATCCCTTAACCTACACGTTTCATTCCTCGTTTGCACACATCATTTAAGGTGATAATTAAATATTTTATCTTACATATAAAGATGAAAGATAGTGAGTAAAAGCAATTGAATAAAAATATTTCTTCTAGCCGAAATTTTAAGTCTCAGTAACAGAAAGTACTTTCTTTTCTTTTCCCTTTTTTTTTTTTTGAATGAAAAAAAAGTAGGAGACTTCAACACACCAACTTTTGAGATTGCAATTTTGGTCTGATCGACCTATTTATTCAACAATTTCGAAATGATAAGGCTTGATTTAAAATCACGATGTGGCTACCTGAAACTCGCTTAAAGCTATGATCTATGATTTTGTCAAACTAAAACATTTTGATGGCGTAAACTTTAGAAGGTGGAGGTCTAGTGTTCAATTCTTGTTAAGGACCTTAAAAGTAGATTATGTTTTGAAAAAACCAAGATTCACTGCGGTGGACTACCAATGAACAATCCATCGGTAATCAAACTGCCAAAGAAACTCCACATGGAATGAAAATGATTATATATACAAGGGCATATCCATCGGTAATCAAACTGCCAAAGAAACTCCACATGGAATGAAAATGATTATATATACAAGGGCATATCCCGAATGTTTTTACTGATCCTTTGTTTGATCTCTACTCAACAATGATATTAAATTTGATGAGGGTCCTTTCATTTCGGTGTAATAATAGATAAACTACCACCCTCTTGAAAAAACTATAAAAATACTTTGATGCATAAGTCGAAATACATGGTAAGAAATCTATGAGATGCTATTTTTGTGGCAAAGCCTGCCATATACTGAAATTTTGTAGAGTTTAAATGAGGTAGTTGGCTCAAGCCAATATAGCCTAGGTAACATTTGTAGCCATGATCTTCAGAGTAAGTGTTGCATGGGCACCACAAAATAATGGGTCGAATCAAAAGCCACTAGACATGTACCTAATAACAAAAACATAAAACATATTTAGGACTTACGAAATGGTACAGGTACTATGTTTTCATTCAAAGTGATCGGTAAATGGACGGTCGAATTGGAATTCACATTTAGCAAAGTCTTCACCATTCTAGATGAGTATCATGCCCCTCAAGTCTGAAGAAATTTCAAGTCATATGAGAAATTTGATTTTTATACCTTTTGAAAAAAGGGTAGCCATTCTCTCCTCACATATTTTATCTCTAATGCAGAAGCCCCTCTCTCTTTCTTCACAACCCAACCCTCTCGCTCTCCCTCATGCAGAAGCAGCAGTAGCAGAGCCCGCAGAAGCAGCAGCAATAGAGCCCTCTCTCATTCACACAGAGAGCTTTGATTATATTCTGAACTAGGTATGGGATGCTCCATTGTTTTTTATATATTATATATTTCACCACCATTCCGTTGATGTATGTGTAGCTGTTGTATTTTCTTTTCTTAAGTTTTTTAATTTTTTTTAATAATTCGTGAATTATGAAATTACAAAAAAAAAAAAAAAAAAAAGAAGTGAAGCCTGAATTTGCTGTACTTCATATTGATTCTTCCCATGCTGATGTACCATGTTTCTTGGTATTCATACTTTGATGCGAAATTGCCGTTTTTTCTTGATTTTGTGGCCTGTATATACATAAAAAGGTTGGGTTATACACTGTGGTTGTTAACAATTGTTGGTTGTGACCCATAACCCACCCCATTGTCTATTGGAGATTGGAATACTATTTGAAGCCATGCTATGATTTCTGCTTGTTTTCTTGTTGTCTTGTGTCATGAACATGGGTTCATTGATTCAAATTGACTATGTTTGTGCCCCATCCTGCAAGTGAAGAAAATTCTATCTTCTCGTTTAAATTTTAATCCTCACTGATAGAAAACAGGGAACTTCAACGCGCCAAATTTTAGATCCGTAATTTTGGTCTGTTGACTTCTTAGTCAAATTGTATCAAATTGAGTTTTATTGACCGTTCCATCAATTTGACAGCAAGATCAGAAAACAACTATGATCTTCAAGGGTGCAACTCGAAGTTCTTAACTCATTTTAGTAATGCCAATTGTATCGAACTCACCGGGACAGAATTGCATCTTGAAATGTTTTTATTATAAAAATGAATGATCTAAGGAACCTGCTTTGGCTATTCATTGAACCCTAATTTTGTAACTCCCTTTTGGACTGTATTCCTTAGGATTTTGACTCTTTTTGCTTATTGGTGGATGTACTTGTTGGAAAATTATACATTTAGACCATTTATCTTTGGTACAAAATGGTCATAATTAATCTTGACTATCAAATGTGAGATTGGGTGGTTGCATTTATTTCATTGACCAAACTCAATTTTCTTGAACTTCATGACATAAGTTATCCTAGGATTATAAATAATTGTGACCTCTTTATATCAAAGATAAATGGTATCGATGTATACAAACCCACACTTGTTTTGGTGAGGGAGATTGTTTAAAGCCCCAAGAAGCTGACTTACCCTCCTTCTTCTTCTTTTTAAATTCCGCAAAAACGATTAGTTAGTTTAGCAGTAAGATTTAAACTTGGATTATATTATCTTATAATTGTTGAACACCATAACTAAAATCAGTGCACACACACATCTTAGCCTTGCTGCAACTCGATGTAACTCAAAATGCAGCAAAACACATTAACACCAAAAAAAAGGTATCTCCAAACCAATTTTGGTAGTTAATAGATTTTGATCTTCTTAACACTTTGGAGAGTTTTGTGTATACTGATGATACAGTGTAAATTTACTATACGTTAATGGAATAGTCTCAAGTTAAAAGCCAAAAAGCAAAAACTTCAAATACAGGTTCTCGAAGGCACGGACCACGGATCACAATATTTGGATACAAGCGTGTGTATCCAAATACACATGCTAAATACAAATTATACATAAAAGTAGACCATGCATTTCATGCGAAATAGGGCATTGGTACTTGTCGCATACTGTTTAGCATATCAAAGCAAGGCGTACCTTTAAATAGATTGTTGCCGTATCAGAAATATTTGTGATGGCCTAAAGATTTATTTTTCATCTTTAATTATAAAATTTAAATATTCAAAAATAGTTTAGAGATGAACACTTGAAAATTTTAAAAATTGACGGTCTAGATAATACATTACAAGATGCGCTATTTCCAAGGCTTGAAATTTATTTCTTCCCGCGTCCATACATCTTGAGGTCAAGATGATAGAATTGAGCGTTTTTCAAAATCGAACCGATATCTTTGTAGTGATTGTCTAAGATGCGCCATAATTTGATAGTTTAGGGCCTCACAGTTTTAAACTTTTTCCGAATAAAATTATCTCTAAGTTGAAGAAAGGGTGCCCCATGTAAAGTGTTTCCCCTCAAGTCAGCCAAATTTTTTTGGAACTCTAAATTCTATGATCAGGGGCAGAACTATATTGCATGAACTCATAAGAGTTTTCAAGTCTAGAAAGCATTTTCTGACAGGTTTTTGAGGGGGAGAAATCTCAAATGTTATATAGTTCAGTAGTAGGAATCGAACTTAAGATGTATTGATGCAAAACATCAGCCGCTAATCGCTCAAGCCCAAGCCCAAGCCCAATTCCTAGACTACCCAAACTTGCCCCAAGAGAAATGAACTTTCCCTTCATTAGTGGTGAGCTGGAACTCAAAGCTATGACTGGTTTCGCAACTTTTCATAGTTGATGGACCGTTCAACTGCAATGAACTGCTGCAGTTCTTGCTCCTTCATTTAAGAGCTGCAATGAGTTAGGAGTTTGGTCCACTCCAGCTACTTAGCAGTGAGGTCTTTTCTTCTATTGGTTTACAAGACTACCCCACTCTAGTTGGAAGCGACCATAGATCTTTGGAAACTCATATTTTTCTTGTTCAAAAAATGAAAGGACGCGGTTAGCATGCGACCAGCCCGCATACTATAGAAATGCGGGCTTGACAATAAACATACCTTTTAAATATAATTTGATCCTAATATTTAGAGAATATATAATCTTTAAAATGAAAATCATGAATATGAAAAAAAAAAAAAAAAAAGAAATTGAAAACTAAAAATAATAGTTATATTAATAAAACATTTGGACCGTTAGTTACAATAGTTTTTAGATCTTTAAGATAGATGCTTTATACCTCAGGACTGCATATTATAGAAATGTGGTTCAGCCCGTAAGAAACAATTGTTCAAAATAAAAAATACTTGATGCAACAGACTCCCTGAAATAAGCAAACATGTTCTTAGAAGTTTAAAAAAAAACAGAAAAAAAAAAACCCAGCAAGTTTGCAAGTCTGATTTTATCAAACACTGGCACTCAACATTCCATATATCATCTGCCTAATATTCTTGAGTGAGACAGAGGAGACCGGAATTTCACGTGTAGGGGTGAAATCCGGAGATCTACAAAGGAACGCCAAAAGTGAAGGCAACTCTCGAGATCCCTATCGATGCTGGAGTGCGAAAGCATGACGAGCGAACATGATTAGATACCATGATAGTCCATATGCCATAAACGATGAATGTTGACCCTTAATCTACACGGATCAGACAGCAATTGCGGCAGCTACTCGAAGATAGCATAAACCCATTAACCAAATGATCTTCCCAATCCACTTATCGTGTATGTGTGTGGTATACACACGTGAGACATCGAAAAGAAACAAAACGCCTGCGCAACAGACTTTGGGAAAAAAGACAAAATTTCTAAAGAGAATGTACACTACAAGATGACCTTTGGTACAGGATCACAATAACTAATAGCCCTCAAATGCGAAATTTGACTTGTAATCGATCACAATAACTAATAACCATCAGATGCAAAATTAATTTGAATTGTATTGGTAAATATTTCCTAGCTACTTTGAGACCAAGCAACAGGCCAGCCAAAATTGAATATCACCTCCTCGGACCATGGTCTCATTATATACCTCTCCATTTCCTAGAACCAAAGGTTCCAACTTTTTAAACCAAATGAGAGTGGCCAACTTCTACTTCATTTTTTGGTAAATTATTTTGGAAAAATTCTACACTTCCCCTATGGCATAAAAGATCCATGCTTCCCCAATCCAATCGTCCTAGATCAAGTGCACGACTGACCGTTTGATTTTGATCCGATGCCTCATATTATTTTAGTTTTAGTTATTTTCTACAAATTATTTGAATATAAAATTTTGTACATACCATCATCTCAATGGGACCCACCTAAAATAAAATTACAAACAATTTTTCCAAAAAATATAATGACCAAAATACCCTTTGAAGTTTCAAAGGGCATTTTGGCCATTGTATTGATAATAATTTTTTATAATTTTTTTCTAGGTGCCACTTTAAGTGAGTGGATGCCCCAACTTTAGTGTCAAAATGGTTTGAAAAATAAAAATTAAAAATTAAAATTAAAAATAAAACAATGTAGAGATTGTGATTGGAGCCATCTCAACCATCCATTGGACAGTTGGATAGGGGCAAGCATATAAGTTTTATGGGGAAGCATAGAAAGCTTGCCCCTTATTTTTTAAGTAAATATATTTTCTGTAAAGTACAGAAAATGAGACAACTGGGGTGGGGGAGAAGAAGTCAAGAATTTTAAAGGCAAACAGGTGTAGACATTACAAGCACCATGATGCATGTGTCGAGTATAACATTTTCAAATTGAAAATGCTGATCATAGGTAGCATGTACCTCTCAGAATCCAAGCCATACATTCAAATGAGACAGAATCTGAACCACAGACAAGAGTACTATAGACCCATATGGGAAAAAATGCCCCAAGCGACCTTGGTGCAATGTACATGGACATACTATCTATACCTCACATCAGAATCAGCAGCAAAGGCTGCCAAGTTCTAAAAGAAGACTACATCTCAAAAGCCCTACTAGAACCAAAATGCTAAGACCAAAAAAGGGGCTGCATAGAGCTCATACTCCTCTCAAAATATCATAACCAATTTGTGCAGTGTTTCTCTCAAATTATACACAATCAGAATAGGATTTACCCCAAAAAAGAAAGAACAAAAAGGGATTCCCTGAAATGAGACTCAGAAAACAAGAAAAAAGAAAAATATTCTCACTTCAATTATACAGTCTAAAAACACAAGTGAAGCTGAGCAATTTAGCCTTAAAAAGAATCCGCTGCTTCGATGATGTCTTCCTCATGATCCGCCGCTTTATAAATGTCCCTTCCGTCTTTGTCCCTCTTTTTCCGAGTCCTTCAAACTGCTTCATCTTTGCAGATCCTCTCTGTGTGCTTGTAATTTTGAAATCTGATAACTCGAGATGGGGTTAGCTGAAAATACATAATTAAGCAATCAAATACTCAGGTTTTCGAGGGCTATTGAACTCCCATTCAAGGTATTGGCTACTTCAATCTTGGCCTTATGGTTGATTCCACCATTTTCTGGTGCACTGCACATCTTATCAATGGCAGGTTGGGAGACAGCTGAGCTACGAGCCCCACCGAAATATGTTGAATAAGGGAAGTATTCAGCACATCGTGTTCTCCACCCTTCATCAAAAACTAGTTTGTTAGGTCAAATAATATGACAGATGCAAGCCAAGGTATTATAAGATTGCAGTTCAAGGATAGTGGATTTAGTACTGCAAATTTTAACATTCTAGAGGAAACCCATATGATTGAAAATAAACAAATTCTCAAGTTCATTCCAAAATTTTGTTGCAAATTATTGTTACTAAACACGTACAAAACATAAGCAATGCACTAAGAAGCCAGTGTTGCTGACCGCTGCCCTTCCCTTACAAAAAAAATGCCAGGTTCCTGAATCATACAAGCAGTCCACAGAAATAGTTCACAAATTCACTTACTAGAAGCAGCATCAGAATCTGCAAATACTGTTCCAAGCAAATTATGTACAGAGACACAATCTTTAAGCTTCCATTCTCTTACTGGTCCCAAGGCACCATTGCTGCATGGTTGCCATCACCGAGATGTCAGAGAAATTCCCAAGTAGTAGGAAGAAAAATATATGGATTTAGTTTATTTAAGAAAACATCACCTTGTGACCAAGTTATTACTCGACTCTTCAATAAGCTTGATTGCTTCAGACTTTTTTTCAGGGGCAAGAATATAAAGCATTTCAGCTGCTGCAGCTCGATGCATCAAAGAATCTTCACAAAGTCCACACAATTAGTTATAGGAAAAAGGGTGTGGTACGTATAAGGCTGAGGCCCTAAACAATCAAAGTAAGACGCACCTTCAAATAACACATTCTGATGAACACATAATTAAGAGATCTATCAAGAGAGGGAGATGCTAACCTTTGTGCTGCTCGAGGAAAGAATCGTTTGCCTCCATAAGGGACTTCCCATGCAAAATGCTGGCATTGGCAATGCATAAAATATTATCATTAAAAAATTTATAGAAGGGTATAATGCAAAAAGAGAAACCTCACGTCGAAAATGGTTTAAAAACCTTATCACAGGCCTTTCTGCCTCCAGAACGCTCCAGATAAGTTTCTCTGACTCAGTCTCCGGTGTGGCGAAACTGTCAACTTTGTTGAAAAATCGGATCTGCAATGAATAAGAACTCAAAAAGAATAAGATGACCATCATGGTTTTAAATCATCCTAAAATAGAAGCATACAGAGTATAAGGTAATGTAATCTTGCTTTCAAGTTCAATAACAAAAAACAGAGCATAAACATCTAGTTAAAATAAGTTGGGTCTTGAGCCATCCAAGGGGTGGGAAAGAAAACTTCTTTATCATAATCTTGAATTGATCTATATTGTAGTTGTTAGTGCTAGGAAACACTAGCAGTAATAAAACGAACATGCTTCTCTAAGAAAAGATGGAAAGAGTAACCGCTATGAATAGATGCACCGTGAACATGGTAGAGGAATGCCTCGAGATGTGAGGCTCTTAAAAGGAGCCTGAGGAATTGAGAATTCGCTTGTTAAGAATATCAATATCAATTAACTAAAAACAGTAAAAAGTATCAGTTCTACATGTAAGCATAGATGGATATCTACTGTATAAACCGAAAACTATACGTAGTACAGTAGTAGTCAAAAGTGAGGCATATAATTCTTGGTTAAATGTTAACATGTGTATATTTTCCAGATCTGGCACCAAATTATCCTCTTCCTTTTTCCAATTTTGACCTATCCATTATATCGATCAGTCACTGTCTCCATCATTGAAAGTTTTAAAAAAGGGAAAAAAAAGACATGATTTATGCCTTTAAGGTTCACAAATCTCTAATTTCCCTAACCCACGTCATGAATTTAATTTAAAAAGCCAAAATGTCATAAGCACATAACAACTTCCCACTAAGTCACTCCTTTGCAGCTCGATAATGCAATTTAACAATAATATATGAACTTTGTCCACCATAAAAGAATCCCATTAATTAGAATCTTCACATTCAAACCAAAACAAAATATATAGTGAAGGACTGTAGTGAACTTAGTAGCTATGTCATTCACAAGAAAAAGTTCAAGTCAGAATCACAGCTAAAACTGCAGTGCAATGGCTACATAGAACATACCAAACAACGATGAGCATCAGGATCATCTGCATTCAATCTAAGCAACTGCTTCACAGCCTGGAAAGAAAAGTACACGTTAAGAAACTCCAGATTACCCTCACCAAAATTGTCAATATTTTCTTTACTGTGAGAATGTATTATTATGTTTCAACAATGTTATGTCGTAATGGAACTTGCAAATTCATAATGGCCTACAATTACACAGACAAGAAATCAATTAGCTAATATTGAAGTCACAAATGCTTAGTAACAGAAAACACTCTGAAGCATGCACTGAAACCCTCATCATAGATTCCAAGTTTACTGCCAGAAGACAGAAGATATGCCGGTCTGATTATCACCTCTTTTTGCCAAAAGGTGTTCCTATGCAGCAACACCATTGTCACAAACAGTGAACAAAAACACATTTCACATTCAAAAAGGCTCAATCAATCAAATTAGCACATCCCAAAGGTGAGTATTACACATGATGAACACCTAGCAAGCCTGAGTTTTTTTAGCTTATATACAATTTTGAATTATCTGATGTATTAACTAAGTTACCCAATGTGGTAAGAACGTGGCTCACTTGGAGACGACTTGGGTTTAAACCCCATCAGTAAAGCTTTTTCTTTTTTTGTTTAAGAAACGTTTCACAAATATTTGAAAATCGCACCAGAGCTGTTCCTAAGTGGACTGTTTAACTCAGTGAGTCAACTCAGTTTAGGCAGTGCCCAGTTCAGTTACCGAGTACAAGTCTTTAAACCATCAGACTCAAATGAACTTTTTCCAAACCCAAAAAAACATCAAGCCTCCATGATCTAAGATGGACCAGATACAACCAGGGACATGATGTCATCATTTTAAATGTATTTCTTAGTATCAGACATGGATAAGGCACAAACTTTTAATATCAATGAATCATCACCCACAATCTGAGATAGACTAATCATTTAACTTTCCAGTAGTTGAAGTCAGGTCAAGAAAAAGTTCAGCCAAGGTTATGGTGATAATGTAACATCAAGTGATACTGAATATGTGCAACTCAAAAACTTCTAAGAGATAACAGCATCATTTTAAAGCTGAAACCACAGGGAAACAACTTTAAAATCCTCTAGTTCTTAAATCAGAATTATGTCTACAGTAGCATTCCTTACAGAGCTTTCATTAAAATAAAGTAGCATTTTCACTAATTAATTACACATATTAGCTGCTACAACCCATAGTCTTAAAGAACTTGTTTGTGAGTAATTGATAAACTTCTTCAACCATATGCATTTGTAATCTTTAAATTTAGCTAGCAGAAAGGGTGCATCCGCATTTCTGCACGATAACAAAACCAAATCTCGAAATTCAGACTTGGCTTAAGACTAAGCGTGCTACCAAGCCTAGTTGACCAGCCAGAACCAAGTCGACTCATGGATGAGCTATTAAAACTAAAATAACAAGTAAGATAGTCAAACCTTAAACTTTATTTAAAGACAGAGAAAGTGGCCAAGCTGTGTTCTCAGGCCAGTCCCGAATCTGGTGTCATGTTTTCAAACAATGAAATGAACGGGCAGTTGAAGATATGTCTAACTACTCTGACAATGTCTAAAGAATCGTTTAAAAAACATTCACCTGAAAAGCAAGTAAGATCTTCTGCTTTCGCATGTTATGTTCAAAGGAAAGTAAATGTGTATCTACAGAATTTGACGAGTTCTTCTGAAGCAACTTCAAGTACTCTGTAGCTTTTGCTAATGGATCCTCAACCTGCAATCATGCATATTCATATAATGGAACGTAAGCCATATGAGAATGATTTCAACCGATTCTTATTTCTTAATCATATAAGCTGTGGAATCACTGTTCTAGCATAAGCACGGAAGAGCAATTAAGTGCTTACAAAAAAACACTTCAAGACTATCTGTATATCTCACCTGCAACAATTTCTCCCCATTTGGATCCAGATCAACTGGCTTGGCGTGATGGCGTTTACCACTTTTACCTGAACCAGTAGCTCCAGTTTCCTCTTCAGGTTTCTCTTCAGCTTCCTACTAAGTAAGAAAAACTGTTAAGCTCACCTATCATAAAAGGAAGTTACGAAATAAAATAATGGAAAGGAAATTTTTGTATACTTTCTTGGCACGAGCCTCTGCCTTCCTCTGCTTCTGTCTGAACTTCTTCTTCTGAGACGGAAGCATTTTAGACATCTCATCATCTTCTTCCAATGATGATTTTGAAGGGGAATCAAACAATTTCATGTAGCACCTGTTCTCCAAAGAAATGAAGTTGAAAAGAAGTCAGAAGCATATGAGTGACACTAGAGTAATAATCATCAGGACTGATATGCTACCGCAAAGAAGCTTGCCAGAATTGTGCACAATATACTGCAAAACTAAGCATATGAGATATTAGGCATCATTCACAGGCAAGCAGGAGAAGATGCACACCAATGGATAATATTCAACTCCAAAATTGTTTTGTAATTTCTGTTCACGACAACATCTAAATTTCAGCAACAGCTTCCAATTTTTTGATACAATAATTCACAACAAAAGTCTGACCATGGGAAAGTGATTGACTGTATCTATACTAGTTTGATGGCTGAGATGATCCAGTTTGATAACTCAATTGACACAATTCGTTAGAATGTCCTAATGATGTTAGATAATGAGAAGTAAGGAAAATAAGGAAACAAAAGAAACAAGGCAACCCATATCCTGCCCCAGTTTGATGCAGTGAGGATGGGGAAACTCCTTGTCAAACTCCCTCTTTGAGCACAAACCTCTTCAAGATCTACAAGGTCAAACCCAAATATGCAATTACCCCCTCTTTTCCCTCTACAAAGTTCTTGAAAAAACTTGATGCCCCTCACCCATGCCTCCAGTGCACTCTTATTTCTTCTACAACCAAGCTGGTTTGTTTACTTTCCACTGCCAACTTCCATAATTTACACTTTTCCCATTGTCCACTGCCCACTATAAAGACATAAGGTGCTCCTAGGTTGGTGCCACATACTTGAGTGCCCCAAACAAAAGAAGGGACAAGAGCAAAACAGAGGACGGGGGGGCGGGGGGGGGGGAATGATTAATGAAAGAGCAGGAGTGGTTAAGAGAGAGAGAGAGAGATCAGAAGCTTGTATGAAGAGAGAGATAATAATATCACCCAAAACCCCCCCACCCACCCAATTCTCAAGAGAGAGAACGGCTTCAATAGAGAATGGTTGGAGAGAGAGAGGAAATACAAACAAACATAAAACACAATAATGAATAAAGAGACAACATAATCTCCATCTCGCTCTCTCATAGTTGTTGGAATCGGGAGCGGGGCATAATGAAAACCAAAAGATCCCTATGGTTTAGAGAATTGTTTGTATAACCCATATGTTAAGGATTGATAACACTAAATGTTAGAGATCAAAACCCCAACCTTTTGGGTATCTTGGTCCCAACCTTTTGTAATCTCAACCCCAATCTTTTGAGGTTCTTGCTCCCAAAGCCAGCAAAAATTGCAGTTTCATATGGCTATAAATAAAGAAAATCATCAGTTTGGTCATTATCTTGGTCTTCAAGGTAGATCAAGATCCCAAAATTTTAAAATCAAGATCTCTTTGCTGGAGCAGGAAGAGTCAAATTCAGGAACGCTCTCCCTCCCTCCTCCCTCCCTCATGCACAATGCACACAGAGCACAACAACACGCGGGCATGCGTGTGCGCACACACAAAGCATCCCTAGGTAAGCACCTAGGGTAAGACACTAGGCATCATCTAGGAGGCCATCATTCAGAAGGGCCCACTAGGCCTAGGCGGGGCACCACCTAGGCCTTCCAATACACGACATTATTTCTTCCAGTAATCCCCAGCCTCCAGAGATCCTCAGCTCTCCACAACGGCTTTCACTAGTACTACCATCTCAATTAGCCAGATTATCAACTTACTCCACAAAAAAATGTGTCCAATCACCATTATCTCAGATGACTCGTGAGATTTCCTTCTCCTTCCTCCAATGAACCTAGTAAAGACTCCCCTTAAGTCAATTCATTGCCATAACAAGTGGCAATGTTCCAAGTTACATTAAGTCAGCATTGTAAAAGCCACGCTGAATTTCCTAATTGAATCCTCAACATGTCAGAAATGCCACTCACAGCCCCTACCACTGAGAATCAACAACAGCTGCCAGCTAGTCTGAGCATCAAAGCATAAACAAGCAAGCGACTCAGAATATTACATTTATCACCCCAGAGCTGGAATAAAATGTCCCTCAAGGACCCAAAGCAATTCAAACAACCCTCCTTACCCTAACTCATATACATTACTATTTTCCTCGTGTCCCCATCCCCCTTTGACATCCAGCCAAAGCATCACACTATCAGCATCCTCAAGCAACCATTCAGCTTCCCATGAGGCCCTATCAATATTTGAGGGTAACCCAAGCTCTTGCCAAGCTCTCAAAACCTTTTCAGCTATCTTGCCCAATTCGTTTCCCAAGACTTGCCATTTTCCTTCTCCCACTGCATGAAAAGAATGCTAATGCAAAAATGGTGCATTGCTAATAAGAATAATAATGGTTGGGATGATGAATATTCATGCTAGAAATGCAACAGAAGCAACAACCTAAGGCACCGTTTTGACATCCAGTGAGCCATATCAGAGCTTATCGTTACCTGCCTTACCGGTAGTCCTGGAAATAGAAACTCTTAAATGGCCACAATGACCTGTAGCAATATCCTAGTTTTTGTTGATAGCAGCAAAGTGGTTTATTTTCTTTTTGTCACTATAGGAAAGAACCGTGTTTTGCAAGAAGTGGATGTCCAAATGGAGAGTAAAGATATAAAGAAGTACAACTTTTCAGTTTAAGTCATCTTCAATAAAGATACTGGGGCCTGGTTTTCTCGGATTGGGATAAAACTCTCTCAAACAACCGCAAAAGGGGCCCACGCGCTTCACTTACGTGTGCGCGTGTGCTCTTTTAAAGTGCGGATAGGAACCAACAACAAGAGAGATTTTATCGACAAAGATACATTCAGATGCCTACCTTATCGTTTTGGGTTCGAGGATACGCCCGGGAGGTCGCCCTCTTAGAATAGTTACGAAGCCCTCCGGCTGTCTGCCAGCACGGTTTGGACACGAACTCTCCTCAAACTTCAACACGTCATCTCATTCTTTTGTTTCAAAACTTGCAATACGAGTTTAAATGGCACTCCTCTATGATGGTTCACTCGAGTGGGGGTTGGCTAGCAAATATAGGACATAGAAAGAAAGGTGGCGGAAGCTCTTGATCACTCAGGTGTTTTGAGACTCAATGACCAAAGCAGTCGAAAGACTTAGAACCCTATAGGATGCTAACCCAGGATGACCCTAGCCGAATAAGCGAGGGCAAGAGCACCTATGTCTCTCGCAACTCTACTCGACTACACGGAATGGAAGTTAAAGCAGTAATATAAGAGTTAGAACTCTTAAGACAGTTCTTCACAACACTAAGTCAAACGCTCGATTGACAGGAGAGGTTTCCGACATGCAAGTGGAATTAACCGTATCTGCACGAAGACGTGAATACAGGTGTAAGCTCAAGAGGAGTAAGAGGGTGGAGACGACTGAAAGACGGAGCCGCTAGATGCTTCTAGCACAAAGCAAAGGAGAGAAGAGCTTAGAGAGAGAAGGGGCCACAGGTGCTGCGGCTCCAAAACTTAACGCGTGGCAACAAAGAGAAGGCACGGAGAGAGACGGGGCCGCAGGTGCTGCGGCTCTGGGACTTAACGTGCGGCAAAGGAAAGAAGAACGCAAAGAGAGACGGGGCAACAGGTGCTGCGGCTCCGAGACTTAACGCGTGACAAAGGAGAGAAGGGCGCAGAGAGAGACGGGGCTGCAGGTGCTGCAGCTCCGAGACTTAATGAGCGGTAAAGGAAAGAAGGGCGCAGAGAGAGACAAGGCCATAGGTTTGCTACGGATCTAGGTTGCTGCGCGAGAAAGATGAGGTAGAAAGAGAAAAAATGAGGAAAGAGAAGAAGGAAAGGAGAGAGAGTGGGCTTGGGGAGTGACCTAGTTTAGGTGCCCAACCTTAGCCTCTTTACTTGCACACGAGAGAAAGAGACTAGTTAGCCACGGGTCGAGGTTAGTGTGTTTGGACTTGTCGGTCTAGGGTCTAGGCTTAGGTGCAAGGACGATAGTGTAGGCTAGGGTGTATGGGCTAGGGGTAATTTCTCTCTCTAAAAGTTTTCTCTCCTCACCACTGAATCCAAGAGTTAGAAGCAAAGCCAAGTGAACACAAGCTAATGCCTCAATTTCATTCACGAATGATCCAGCCCTTCTACAATTGACCTAACCTTGTTTATATAGAGCAACCCCCAAACATGGGATGGAATGCTCAAAACTAAGCCAAATTGCTGAAAATTATATATTACATTAATTAAAATAAAATCCCATTTTTGGACATAATGACCAAAATACCCCTTTGATCTTTGAGCACATGGCAAAACCATCCCTCCTTGAGGGGTCTCTCACCATTGATAGACTTCGGGAGCTTTTTCGGACCCTTGCGGCGGTGACTCAGGCGATCAATCATCGTAGAATCGATGTTTGATCTATCACGAATATTTTGATGCCTTTTGATCTTCTTGAAACGGACTTTTCCTGGGGGGCAAAAATCTGGCCAAGTCCATAATCTTCAACCACCAATGCAATGCGATCCATGATGTTCCAAGTCTTCATTTTGATCACGAGTAAATGAGAACATTGTCATCATCATTCCGCACCAAATTTCGCCCGATTTGATCTTCATTTGTGCACATCCCCAATTCGGGAAGTCGCCAAAAAGTGTGATTCCGGTGACCGGAAAAATCTTGTCATTTTCAACATTGAAATTCGCGTTATTCGGCCTTCAATTGAGTGCAAGCATTATACTAAATTGTAGCCTTTCACGATGCGGTCGCAACGGGCTTATAATTGAGAAGATCTGACACCCGGATCTCAAGTTATGATTTTACGAAGTACGAGATGTCTTCTATCAAAATTCTGATTTTCATGTCTTTGGACTCATCCTCTCTCTAAAAATCCTCCCGTCTCGGGTCACATCATGACGCATGCCATATGTCAAAACGACAGGGTCGTCGAGACATAGCTCGTGTCCAAATTTGAGCGTGTTTCAACTCAAAACGAACGCGTTTTGAATATTTGAAAATTATCCCGAGAGGTGAAAACACAGTTTTCATGAATGGAAACTGGTTCACCTAGGCCGCATCGCAATAATGTAAAACCCGCCCTTTTATGGTAATTTGGGCCCAAAATGGTCCTGGATGGTCCGATTGAGCCCAAATTCAGTCCCTGGGGGTTTTTCGATGTTCCGGATCTAATGGCGGTGGTCTGGTATTGTTTCGAAGCCCGTACTTATAAGGTCTCTTTTTAACATGATAGGAGCTGGATTTGAGAATCGAGTTTCGTCCTGATCCTATCAAAACTTATCGGAATATAACGAAACTTTGTGAGCATCCTTCGGGCATCCCAAACTACCATTTTCATGCCTTTTGAATTCGTTCTAGTGCACTTTTCAAGGTTGCCCACTTTTAGGCTTACTTTGCAGTGTTCCCATAGTTTGGTAATGTCTTGGGTACTGCCAGGACCAGGTTGTTACTGGCTCACTCTTTATGCGACTCAGGAATACAAGTATGTCAAAAATGACGTATAACAATAAGTCTTTCTTTTGGTGCACAAAGAAGATGTCATTTAATCAAATCAATCTCGATTAACAATGAACTCACATACATCTAAAACCATGCATAAGGAAGAGCAATCAATAAACATCTGTCATAGAAAGACAAGAAGAACCATTATTTATCCTACAAACAAAAATATTTTAGTTAAACCAAATAAATCCAATAGAAATTAAAAGGTGTACATGTAAATCCCTCATAAAGAAACTGTAAAGAGCACTTTGCCACCCAAAAATATACAAATAAAATATCCGAGATTATTTTAGGACAGAAAATAGGTATAGGGCTTTCAATGGGAAAGTGCAAGTGTGCAACTGTGGTAAAAAAAGAAGCCAAATCTCATTATCAACCCAAATATCAAGGGTACCTGATAACTCCAACTGCGGCTCTGTGGAAATAGCTATGCGAGTGTAGCCGATCTTGAAATTTTAGCATTTCTACATAAGCACGCAATGTCATCTTCCGTAAGCAATAGGAGTGAAAGTCAAATTGGTCCTCGGTCATATCAAGATAGTGTCTTTCAACTGCTAAGAATTTCTTCAAGGCCCGCCCTAGATCACCTTGACGAAAGTAGCTTTCAGCAGAAGCCAGTTCATACCTTCACATGGAAGGGCACACAGACAAATTGAGGAAACCTGTTCAAATATAACCACTCATACAAAATAATGAAGGCAATGATCAAAGTGCCTACCACATGCATTGCATATCATGAAGGTTGTTATGCTGGTCCCCATCCTTTGTGAATAACACAGCTGTCTTCTCTGCCAAAGTCACCTATAAAACGGATAGCAACACCCGAAAAAATCTCAGATTTCCAAATAAGTTGCATTCACTCACATAGAAGTACCGGAGTAAATTAATGCTTTGAGCACAAACTATAAGTGTTTCAATGAAGATAGACCATAAGATAACTATAAATGTAGGGCTTTAAAATCAGACCTGATCAGCCTGAAGCATGCGCTTTACACATTCGCTGTTAATGAATCTGTCTGCCAGATCCATAGACCGAGCTTCGTCTGCCATAGCTGCAGCAGCTACCAGATCACCTGCATGTTTCAATATTCTACCCTGTGATCAAAAGAACTCATGTCAAGAAATGACAAAGAGTCATGTAATCTCACCCAAACAATCACATGATACATATACGTCAAGACATTTATTCCATAATGCCACCATAAAAACACAATGCAAACATAATAATCTGTTGAACACCTTAATATACAGCAACATAACAGAATCTAAGAATATACGATCACATGGTACCCAAGTATACCGAGAGAGACACCTAAAATTTAAAAGCTTAAAACAACAAGTGCGATAGATAATTAAACTTTCAACCACATCCAAATAAATTGATGGCTGAGTATGATACATCATGAAAAGATAAACAATCTTCAACAGCTGAGGAATCCAAATTAAAGGCAGGTATACAGTGGCCATAACACCCATGCAATGGCCCCAAATGGCCAAGAGAACAGATTTGTCATTCAAAGAGAAAAAAACATAAACAATTTTTATCTAAGGGTGCGATTAATGTCAACACAAGCTGCAATTGAGGCATACCACGGGCAAACTAGAATGGGTTGCATATTTGCTACAGGCATCTTTGGCTTTGAAGATAATTACAGCAAGTGGGGAAGAAGTGCACGGGGTACAGTCTAATGCAATCTTGACAGACTTCAGTAAATGAAGATTACCTGTACAATGTTGGATTTATATTACAAATGTAGGTTCTCCGTTTGGGACACAGATGCCACGAGATATCAGTAAAAATATAGATCCATGTTTCAAATGAAATATGTAACTGGCATGAATAGGAAACATGATGAGACTTATGCAGTAACATCAAGTGAATTTTATGATTGTTCAACATCATCATGGAAGGCACAAGATTTTTGCCACACAAACGAATTTGTTGACTCTTACGAAGCTCCTTTGAAGAACCAAAACTGCCTCATGAAACGAATAGACAAGAAATATGATTATATTTGGTCTGAGTTCCATTCAAATATAAAGTTCCAATGAAGCTAAGAAGACATCTGTTATACCCAAATTGAGTGCCCTTATCCATACTTCTTCCACATGTAGTATTTTAATTTCACCACTTGCTGAGACGAAGAGTCATTAGATCAGAATATAGTTAGAGTTCCCATAAGACAAAAAAACTCAAAAGTTAGTATTATTAATGATCCTTCACTTTATAGAGAAAATAAGAAGAGCATTCTTAGGCCTTATCCCAGAGACAGCCACCATCGATTTGTTAGCAAAAGGTCACATGTTTGATCCTTGAAGTTTGTCCCCACATGCAAACCAAGCACTTACATACCCCAACAAAAAGAACTCAATAAAGAATGTGTTCCTGGGCAATGGGGAAAATTTTCACGTTGATATGGAAAGAGAAGTTATAACCCATCCCAAGCTTAGGTAAAGGAGGTGGGTTGCATTAGGTAGGCAATCAGCGTAAAATTTTGTCACATCTTATCATGAAAACCAACCCCAAATCATTGGGATAATAAGGCTTGAACGATGATGACGATGATTTGGAGAGTCCACATTCAAGCCAAAAGAAAGAGTACAGTCAACAAGGTTGAGGACTTGAGGTGTTGACTTGAGGTGTTGACATCCTGAGTTGAAAGTTGGCTGATTGAGCTACAAATGTAAGAGACCAAGAGACACAAAGAACCAAGATGCGGAAAGGGAAAGAGTATGGAGATAGACGATATAGTAAACTAATACAATAGGAGGCAGCTGGAGGATACCTATCATGATCATAGCACGATCCAGGGAAGGAGGTATTTTGGATGAGAAATTTGCCAAATGCATCAGAGCTGCCAGGAAATATGATGGCGACGAAAGAAAGCTGGGGGGACTGAAGAAATAGGTGCAGTAAGGCAAGCAATATAACAGCGTTGTTTATCAAGGTTGTGAGAAAGTCAAGGGGCTGTGTGCTTAAGAAGCAGGAAGGACCACAAATTAGGCAAAGAAGTGTTTCATAGGTGAAAAGAGAGGGTTTAGACTTTAGAAGGTTAATGGCAGCTAAGCAGGCAGAGATTCGGGACTCAGTGACAGATTTTTCCATGAGTAACTCAAATTTCAAAAGTTGTGAAGATAGTGAGTACAGAATTTACTTTATTGGGTTGTCAAAATGCACCCAACTAATCAACTATTTAAGCCCCTTTTTCAACTATTTCAACTCATGATCATGTGTATTTTGATGGGCTTTTTGAAATTAGATCAAAAGAAATGGGTAAAATGTTAAACGGTTCATCTCTTAGGTACATTTTAAATTTCCTTTTATAATAGCAACAAAAATTATTGGCGGAATTGTGAAAAGTACAAACGTGGAATCCACATCCGGGGATGAAAAGATAGCATCCCTAGTACCTGACCCCCTCTATATATAGACTGTCTCGGCTCACACCATCATTAGTTAACATATTGGCCACCCAATTGGCACTTCTGAGGACATGAGAGAAGGAAATGGTCAGATGCACACAAATGTCAAATATCACCTTGAAGATCAATAATAGAGAGTAAAGCATGTTATGGTAATATTTACACTAATTATAGATACTGAAAATTCCTATCAAGAGTAATGACATCAGTACAGAAATCAGGAAATATCCCAGTGTCAGCTCTGTTATGGTCAACCTGGGTAGAAATTCAAGGTGTATCATTGCCCCCACTAAAGACTAATGAACAGGTCATTATCATCAACAAGAGGTTCATAAGCATCTCATACTTCTAGGAAACAAGATCAAGTAAAAGATCTCACCTTTTGTTAATAAGTTAACCAAACTAGAAAATCAAGTTTAAATTTAAATTACTTGAACTTAATCTGACTCAAGTATCACATACAGAAACACAAATTCATATTTAATATAATGGAGTGTATTGATTTCATAATCTGTTCAATAAGTCCCACGTACGCATCATCAAATTCCTGCTATTTTAAATAACAGGAATTTGATGATGCGTACATGCAACTTATTGAACAGACATTGAAATCAATACGCTCTCATGGACACATAGAAAGAAACGACAGTTACAAATAACCAAATAAATTGCACCAATCATGACAGAAATACTTGAAAAATGCTCAGCATCCAGAAGAGGTCCCAGAATAAACTAATAATGTTACAAGAGATTAACTTAGAAGAGCTATACAGCAGACAGAATCGTCAAACCTTCACAGTGTAGAGATCAATCACAGTTGGCGTATGAGCAATAGCATCATCAATTTTAGCTAGTGCAAGATCATACTGACCCCTTCTATCGTAATGCTGCATTACAATGTGCAAAAAAGTTACAATCTGGAGGAAATTTTACAGAGATGACTCATTTAACAAGAGCAAGGGGAATTTCATCCAAGATTAAACAGAATTTAGAACCTGAGCCATGAGAAACAAAGTCCACATGAGTGTTGAAGGCGGTTCCTTTTGATCCCTGTAGTTCAGACATACGGTTTTCCTTAAAATTTCTTTTTGATTGATGTTCCTAAAAAAACTTGTAGCCACATGCGAATTGCAAAGAAATACCATACAACAAGCAAAAATGATATTTACACAGTGATTCAAAAAGCAGACAGCCAACGCCTAGGCCGTCCAGAAGGCCTGGGCGTATCGCCTAGGCCTAGGTGGCCATTCTGGGTGGCCGCCTAGGTGGGCGCCCAGCCCAGGGAGGCCGTCCAAGGTCTGCGCCCCACCCAAAGGCGGAAAATTTTTTTTTTGTTAATTTTTTAAAAAAATATAAAAGGTTAGAAGGATGGTTTTAAGTTCATTTGAAACCTAAAACTTATTGGAACCCATTTTAGAGAGAGAAAGCCTCCAAAAAACTAGTTTTGGTGATTTCTTTAGAATCGAAGGGTTTCTCAAAATTGACAAAAATTGATCGAAACATCACCCATTGATAGTAGATTTAATTTTTGATGTTTTATAAATCTATTGGGGGTTTTTTAAAAGATTTTGAGTCCTTAGAAGAATCTTTGAGGTGGAAGTTTAAAGATTGAGCAATCAAACTCAAAGTAAGTGCCCTCAATACCTAATTTTTATTTTTTATACTATATATCTATTTTTTATTCAAATGGGCATCCTTTTTGGATTCGACTAGGCCGCCCAGGTTCTAGGCACCCGCCTAGGCGCTGGGTGGCTTGGACCCCCCAGGCCGCTTAGGACCTTGCCTAGCGCTTTTTGAAACACTGTATTTACGATGTAAATGAAATGGCAAAATAAGAAAATCACCAGTATTGCCAAACACTCAAACCAATGGCATCAAAAACATAAAATCCAGACTATGCATACATCGCCTCGGACTTGTATCCCAAATCTGTTTATGCATTTTGCATAAATGTCTTTCTTTATACTTTCATTAAAGACAGGGTTCAACAGTTTTTTCCAATACATGCACCCCAAGAGTTTATATTTACAAGGGAAATATTTGTAAATATCCCAAAATTTCGCAATATTTTAAAAAATCCCCCATTTCTTATATTGCATGCTGAAATTCCAAACTGCTCTTTCACTAAAAAGACAAATGATACAATTCAGAACTAACCAGGTTGCTTAACTTCTTTTCTTTTTTCAGAGTGAATGAGTTTTTATAGTTTTGAAATGAGTGATAGTGTGCTACTGAGGAAGCACTTTGTAAAATTAGTCCCTCACATAGAACACCTATAAGAAACTTTTTCTTTTTGAGAATGACCATCAGGTAATTTTGGAATGGAACTCAAAATGTTAAATTAAAAAAAAAATAATACATTTAATATGAGAGAGCAAGTGAAAAATGTCACATTGTAGGACCATACATTTTATTATTGGGTGGTCCTAAAGGCTCCCTCAGATAAAATGTGTTTTTTTAATTTATATTATGGGATCCATTTAGAATTACTGGATGTTATTTCAAAGGAAAAATAATAATAACATACTCAAAATCCAAATATGTATTTTATCCAAAGGACTAAATTTACAGTTTGGTCCCTCAGTAGTAAAAGATGCCTTTTTTTAATGGTAAAAATGAACGGAAAACCAGTTTGGAACTTGAAGTCAAGTTCCAAACCAATCACTCAGTATAAAAGATTTAAATTATTCGGTTTAGAACTTGTCATTTAGTGAAAGATCAGTTCGGAACTTGAACTGCCAAAACAGTGAAGTTTCGAATTGGGACATTTCGGAAATTGGGACATTTCGGAAAAAAAAAAATAAATACAGAAAATATCACGTAAGTGTGAAGTATAAAAAATGGGGACTTTTTAAATAACGAAATTATTCAGGACTTTTACAAGAATTCCTATTTAGAATATTTAATGTTTGAATGAAGTGCGGAAATATATCATTGAGCAACGCATAAGATGTTTTTAGAATAGGTGACATGACACACACACACACACAGACACAGACACAGACACAGACACAGACACAGACACACAGACACACACACACACACACACACACACACACACACACCACAAGATGTGGCTGTTGGCAGCCTACAGACCAGGTGCTCTTTACATCAAAAAGTCAGTAAGAACAATGCAAACATTTTGCAGGCCAGTATCTAGACCAAAACTTTTGCGTGGAGATAGCTAAAATATGGGGGTCAACAGCATTTCCCTTAAGGAAACATTTAAATGTGTAGGATTAAGTATATGTACAGTTTAATCTTGATGGAACAATTATTACCACACATATAATCCTATATCTAGACCAAAACTTTTGGGTGGGGATGGCTAAAATATGGGGGTCAACAGCATTTCCCTTAAAGAAACATTTAATTGTGTAGGATTAAGCATATGTACAGTTTAATCTTCATGCAACAATTATTACCACACACATATAATCCTATATCAGAACCATATCATGATGGAACATCGGATCATCTAGGCCTAAAGAAGCCTCCCATGGGAAAATCTTGAAGTTCATGCTTGTAATTGCTCCTCAAACTTTCAGACCAACCCCAGTAAGATACCTGGTATAAGCTTTCTAGAGTTATTTGATTGCAACTTCCCCTTTTGCACGCAACTCCAGGGAGAAAGATATTCATTAACCTTTTGTTGTCTTTTCTTAAAAGTAATTCCATCATCTCAGTTATTACTGCAGCCATTATAACTGTCTTAACTTGTATCATCCCGTCTTTGTCCTTTCAAACAATACAACTCCTCTCTCATATCAGGAACATAATATCTTTTTACCAAGAATGTTCCAGTTGCTTCTGGGCAATCTTATCAAACCTAAGGTGGCATTCAACTTCTATCACCTTTATGACACCATAGCCGAGGCATTTGACGTTTCCCTTGTCTAAAACTCCTCACAAGGAGAGCATTTTGAGAACCTCGGCACCCGTAAATCATAAGCAGAACAATTCAGCAAAAGGAAAAGCAGAAGCAAAGGAACACCGAACTTCCAGTTGTAGCATCATGCATGTCGCACAAGACATAACCTGATGCATGCTTTCAGCAAGAAAATACTCAAACCCAGAAAATTTATATCAAAGATCCTATCAGATGTAAAGAAGGAATTCCAGTATGCAAAGCTTACACTTCATGAATTACCTCCCAGGGAAACTTCCAGTGGTTCGGATTGAATTCTCCAGCTCAAGAATTAATTGTTCAAGAATATCAGCCTGTATCACCATATGGCATGATTTCATAAAAGAGAAACAAAAAGACATGCTGCATTTACCAACATACACCAGAAATACCTGTACAAGAAGTAAAACACACAAAACTTTACAATGAAATTGAGGAGCCTACCTTGCCAGGATGATCATACAAAGGGCTTAGATCAGAGAACAAGGATGGAACACCCTAGTGCCCAGCAAGAGAAATCGTCGTTAGTTTGGAGACTGAATAAAATTCCAATTCTAACAATAAATCTTTTTTTTCCAGATTAGTGGCATCCTAAGTGTAATAAAAGTCTGTACATAATAAGAGATAGCATCAGCCATTTAAATAGAAATGCAAGAAATAGAGTGCTGCAGAGTCACCAAGACAAGCAAGAAAGGATCAAAAAAAAGGACTGGATACCTTAGTCAAGAGAGGCTTAATATAGTTCTCTGCTTCCTCACAGAACTTTTCACCTTTTAGAAAATCAAGAGGGATTCGCTGAGCAGAAAGTGAATCAAATTCTACCGCATGTTAGTTCCTCTTAGCAATACTAATCGAATATAGGTATTTGCCATTTTTCTTAATCTGAGGTAAAGGTTAACTCCAAAGATATTTGCATTTATGGTGTGCTAAACCAAACATTAAATTAAAGTCGTAGAAAGATGACTTCAGTGAAGCAAAGAGGCAATTGGCAAATGCATCAGATTAATGAACTACAAAAAACAAAGAATGCATGGTATAAAGGAATCCAGAAAATAATATGAATAAAAAACCAAGTAAACCCTCCTGATAAAACTCATAAAGAGCAAGGTGGACAGACCTTCCCCAATTTCAACAAAATTAAGAACATATAATCATCCTCAGTTACAACAGTAATATGAGCATAAAAAATTCTCAGCTTATTGCTCTTACACCAAAGATCCACCGCATAAAATGATTTTTTCCCTCCTTTCTAATCGATACTGTATAATAGTGTATCACCCAGAAACAAAAAAGCCATTGACACTACAGTTCATAACAATATCAATCCAAACATTGGAGATCAGAGATAAAAGGTTTCTGCTAATAGGCAATTAACTTTATGAGAAAAGAAAGTACAAGAAAGTACACAGATGAGGACTATGCTACAGCGCAAAAAGACAAACTCAAGAAGACCGAGAAAAATAAAGGGAAAGAAAGTTGCAGATGCCGCGGGCTTCCCTTGGAACCCAATAGCAACATTGGGCCCGCGGGACATGGCAGCAACAAAAAACAAAGTTCTGTACATGGCCAAGAAAGTAGGAATGTCAAAATAATTTTTGCAGAAGCGTACAACAAATTACTCAAGCATATTTTATTTACAAATGTTGTTCAACTTATGCTTAACGGCATACAGTGGGCAGCACAATGATCTCAAACAAAATACGATGGAATATGTGATAAGCGCGACATAAGTGAGACCCGCTGAAACCCAAACATAAATGAGAGATTTAAGTTGGAAGATACCCCTTGAATTAGTCAAGAGTAATATACCTTCACAGCAGATGACCATGTATACTGCTCCCTCAAAGATTTGTATAAGTCACACATGTGATTGACTTCATCAGATGTGTACTCCCCATCATCCCGATGAAGGCCTAAGCATTTTTGGAGCCCTTCATAATATCTATATACAAGAAAATTTCCAAAGGAGCAAATCATTAATACGTGAAACTTTTTGGTTTTTTCTCTTTGAAGGAGAAATAGAATACTGTATCACTTAATGAAATATGAAGCATGAGATTTTTGCACGCATCAATGATTTTGGGGCAGTACAGTAATGACTGCGAGTGTGGGCCACACAGACCAAACAGGGAACATACAGATCACTATATTGATTTGATTTATCAGTTCCAAGAGACTCCTCAGGGAAATTATCAAAATCTCATCTCAATCTTCAATTCAATGGTGCTAAAAAGCATGGTCATGCAATAAAAAACGAACACAAGCATGATAAGAGCACCTCAACAAGACATATAGCATGCTGGGAAGCATTACACATGCCCACATTCTATAGAGAGGAGAAAACTCTGAAAAAACTCTTCAGCAAGTGCAAGAAGTCTATTAAACATGAACTTCAAATTAAAATAACTACCGGTAATTGTCAGGATTCATAGCAAGCAAAGCCCTATAAATTTTCTCCCCGTCAGCCAAATGTCCAAGCTTTATCCGTAAGGAGACAAGCTGCTCCTTGTACGCCAACTTATCAACCTGGAAACATACTAATAAGTACATATCCAAGTACCAGCAAAATCCAATACTTGACTGAAAACTACACAACTTCCATGGATAGCCAAAACATTGCTTACAACTTTAGCCTCTTTCTTCTGCAACTCTTCAAGTGCTCTCTCAAAAACCCCACATTCTTCTAAAAGAGAAATCTACACAAAAGACAAGCTTAGGTAAGGTCATACAGGAGAGGTTGGAATTGGCTAAATGCTATGCAGGACACACGTTAACATGAAAGCATAACAAAAGGAGAAGTCCCTTATGTGAATCATACAATTCACAATTTCACCAAGCCTTCTGATGAGGACTTTCACATTACAAGCAAGAAAACTTCAATGCATCCATAGTTTCATCTAATACTCTTCTTCGATGTTATGATTCAACCTTCTCCACGTCATTCTTTTCCATGTACTTTCAAGGTTATGCCCCATGGTTGCCCAAGCATCTTGACATTAGGTTCTTAATTGTTATACATGAATACAGGGGATCTAGCAGGAAAATGCTTCTGCCGATTTTAGAACTTTCATAGGCTTCACCCATTGGAAAGATTAAATGATGCAAAAGAACTGTAGCTACTCTTCAAATTATATTCTTGGGTACCCAGTATTTCAATAAGTGCTAGGCAGCTCCTAGGCGGTCGGGGGGGTCTAGGCTGCCCAGCACCTAGGCGGGCACCCATGCGGGCACCCAGAAACTGGGCGGCCCAGTAGAATTTTTTTTTTTTTGGGTTTTCTCTCTCTAAAATAGCCTCTAATGGGTTTTAGGTTTCAAATGAACCTAAAACCCACAATTTTGCCTCTTTAGTATTAAAACAATGAAAATACCCTCAAGGAGATGCAGTTCCGCCCCTGGGTGGGGCGTAGGCCCTGGGCGGCCGCCTAGGCAGGTTCAGGTGGGCGCCCAGGAAAATCCACCTAGGAGGCCGCCCAAGCGCTGGGCGGTCTGCTTTTTTAAACAATGTGGGTGCCCAACCTTAGGATTTGTCATCTAACAAAAAGAAAGAGTGGGGACTGATAAGAAATTAATATTCCTAGATAAAAAGATATCCATTATTATACTTCAAAATGAGAGATAAACATGCATTTAACCATTTTTTATTGGTGAAAAATATGCATAGCACAAGCACTAGAAATGCATCTGCAAGCACTATTATGTCACTAAATCATCAAAATAGAGAAAAGAAAGAAAATTTACTTTGTACAAAAGCATTTCTCCATGTTCACAACGTTCATTATCTGGGGGATAATCATCCTCTAATGTCCCTTCGTATGCCTCCAAAATTTCTACAGCTTTTGATGCACTAGACAAAAGAAAATCATATACATAAGAGTAATTTAGCAAAAGCAATCATCTACAATAAACTATAAAAACAGACAACCCATGCCCAATTCAAACTGAAGACCATGAGCATCAATTAAGGGGTCAATATCTACTTTAAACAAAATAAATTATTAGGAAAAACTAAACTCATACATTGAGAAAAAGTAGCAAATTGATAAGGGAAAGAGAATTGAAAATGAATCATACACATGATTTTCTATATGATGAAAAAGAAGGGAGCTATTCAAATTTTTCATGAGCTAATTCAGTTATTGACAGCCCCAAAGTAAAAGAATAAGAATATCATCATCATTATCAGAACCTTTTCCCAACTATTTGGCTTTTGGCTACACGAGTCCTAGTCCGCTATTATGCTATATCTAGGGTTGTACCCTCAATGAGGCCATTAGTCCCAATATCTTTTCTCACTACTTCCAACCATGTCCTTTTAGGCTACCCTTTGCCCTTTTTTAGCCTTCCACTTGAACCAACTCGCACCTCCTAATAGGTAATGTACTAGATCTACATTGCACATGGCCAGTCCACCTAAGTCTACTTTCTCTCATATTATCGCCTATTGGAATCACGCCTAAGTTCTCCCAAATGTATGCATTTCAAATTATATCCCTTCTTGTATTGCCATTCATTCATTTCAACATCCTCATCTCAGTTACATAATAGGTGTGTTGTTTCTTGACCACCCAATATTATGTCCTATAAAGCAAATCTGGTCTCACAGCAATCCTATAGAACTTCCCCTTCAGCTTTATTGGTATGTGGCAATCACATAAAACTCCAATAGCACATCTCTACTTCACCCACCCAGCTCTAAAAGAAATAGAATATACAATGTCATTTTTGTATTTCAATTGTAACCAAACTATCAATCATAAGCGTCCACCTCAATAATGACAAAAATGATTAAGGAAAAAAGGCCCTAATTTTTCTTTTCAATGAAACTAAGGCAGTATCCAACTTAAGATTTGATTTTCTTTTTAGTGGCTTTAAGAAGAACATTTCAATTATTGATAAATTGCAGCAATATGATTCTGGTTTTATAAGTAACAAGTGTTCATGTTTTCATACATCGAACTTTAAGAAGAACATTTCAATTATTGATAAATTGCAGCAATATGATTCTGGTTTTATAAGTAACAAGTGTTCATGTTTTCATACATCGAATTAGCGCCTTCCCTCCCTCC